TTACCTTTAGAACACACAAAGCACCAGCTCACATTGACATGCGCGTGATGGGTTTTTCCTTTCATGGCAGTGAAATGGTTGGTACAAACAATGCTGTTGGAAGCGATGACTGCACATCCCGCAGCAATGCAAAGGTCTCCAGCATGGTACGCGACAGGACAGCGAACACAGCGCATCATCTTTCCTAGCAAAGCAGAACACTGCCACGTTATTTTGGAACAAAAACAATTTATTATTTCAGCTAAAAACCAGTAGCACGTGACTGAGGTAGTCTATACCCACACAAAGCCATATCAATTATGTCTGCAGAGCCTGCGTGTTCGCATTCAGCAAATGCACTAAGACAGGTTTTTCAAGAACTGACTTTAAAGCGCTGTAGTATTTGAACGTGAAGGCTTTAACTGAGCACACCAGGGTAGACAAGCTTTCCTCAGTCTACAGATGTTGCCCCAAGCTAGAAATATGCGCAGAATCCAACGCCTCCACATCTGGCAAGCCTGGCTGCAGTATTTGTACATTCACAGGTCTTGCCCTCACTCTCTCAGCCTGTCTCTCCTCATCATACACGCATTCCAGATTCCGTCCTCTCTCGAGAAGAAAACACGGTTAACCACAGCTAACTGGAAGCTGGTTAAAACCAACAAAGAACACAAAGAAGGTAAATACTAATGTTGACTAAAAGTCATTCAGTGGTTGTGTTTTTTTTAATTCTGGATGAAACGACAGTCCACCCGTGCCTGAAGAATCGCAGCCAGCAGCTGTTAAAGGGCCAGATTCCTTACCTTAGTGTACCACAAACAGATTTAATTCATCAGCCATAAAAAGGTAAAATGAAACTACCTTTTGAAATTCGTGGATGTGAGGGGTTACTAACATGACAACTCAGGCAGCTGTGGAGAGGACATCGAAACCCCCTGTTCTCAAACACCGTCAGATGAAATTTTTTCACGCAAGCTTCGTGGTAGAATTTTCCGCAGTGGGATACGACACAGCGTTTCACATCTGCCTTTCTCTCTTGACACACAAAGCAAGTATGCACACCTAGTGGCAAAAGCAAGGGAAACCACGTCACTCGTTTCCCATCCAAACACGTGAATTTTAGACGCTTCTGTTGCAACTTCTCATTATGTGTGAGGGGAGTTGCTTTTGTTGTGGTTTTTTCGTGGTTTTTTTTTTTTTTAAAAAAAAAAACAAACTCAAATTCACTTATTTGATGCAGCAGTCTGTTTAACTCTTTAGTGCTAAATACTAATCCGCTCAGATACAGACAGAATAAGGTTACGGTGCAAACCCACTGCGGTTAAAGTGCACACAACAACACCCAAAGCCTCACCGATCTGCTTTCACGTTCTTATTCATAAGCCTCAGTACGCCAGGACGACTGCGCAATTTTTATTATTCCTTTTCTAAAGCAATCGAATAGGATGATGGGTTCTGTCACCCCGTTAAATTTGAAGCAGGCCCACAAACCAAAGACAAGCATCCTCTCATCTTCTCTCTGGACCGCTTGGAACAGCTTTATTTCAAAGCGGCCTTGTTCCAACAAGGTTTTACCATGGGAACTGAACTGAGCTTATGAGCAAGAACGCAAATCTTTTTACGTAAAGTTTTAAGATTAAGAACTTCCAAGCAGTTATTGTAGGATTAAAAGCAAATGACATTAATAGCAATAAGGTAGTCTTTTAATAGGAAAAGCAAAAGATTGATATAGACACACAAAGGACTGAAAAAGCACTTAAAACGTTTCACTTGCTGCTTTTTTTTCTAGGATTTCTTAAGTCTTTGGGACAGACTTTCATCTGTAATTGTACTCAGAGAGCAAATACTCTGCAGTTATTAAGGCAATGGAATTCAGACCAAATCAGCCAAGTGGCAAGAGACTTCTCACTGAAAACAGCATGAGCTTTCTAAACCATGGCACACTTATGGTACTCTATGAACTCGCACCCTGGCAGGCACCAAAGGATAAATACAGTTTCTCCAAAGGTACATACTCTGTCCAGGAGGATTTCCTAGAACAACATATGGGAAAACTACAAGGTTTTGTTTTTATTAATAGAAAGGGACAAACTTGCCTGATGTACATTCACTACAAATGAATTTTCCTGCTGGTCTTCCAGAGAGCCCAAGGCAGCTTACATGAAAAGCTCGATAGCAAAGTCCTTCACACAGTAGGAGATCACCTGTTTTTTCACACAGCTTTTACAACACAAAGGCATTGAATGTTAAAGAAATGTTCATATGTGGAAAAAACTGCTTTATTCCTTTTCATATACTGCTCCTCAAAACCTCTTTTCCCGTTGTTGAAATCAAATTTAACAAGTGAAAGATAATTTTACAAGCATCATCACATGCCCTGGCTTCCAGTCAAAACAGGTAACAGAGTCATTAAACTGCTAGAAGTAATCACTCATAGAACCACCGTTCATGAGTCAGTACAATCTGACAGAAAAAAAGGAAAAGAAAAAAAAAGCTTTAAGGAATTTTCCCTGAGCACACTGATGCATCCAAGTAGGGTTAAAAAGCATCCTTATTTTCCTTTTCCTTGGCAAAAGGAAATTAATCTAGGTGATACTTCTATGTCTGAGTGGTTAGCAATGACACATGCATAACTAACAACGAACCCAACAACAATGCTGGCAGGATTTAAGGGATTAGCCAACATCTGAAGATAGATACAACCTCCTGATCACTATGTACAAGAAATGGAAATATAACTGCTTGCCCAGTCTCCTGGAAACAAATTTGATCCGTCCATTTGTATTGTGTTATCAGGTCACAACCTAAGAACTCTTCTAGGATAATCTGAGAAAGCCTCTTGCTTTCAATCCGCAGGGCAGGCGCACGCTGCTTCCAGCGCATCATCTGCTGGGCGCAGCAGCGCAGGGAAGAGGGGGTTTACCTCCTCCTCTTCACGAACCGGTAAGCGAGCCTTTAACTAGTTACCTGGCGACACTCACGCGCTTATCTGCAGTACAAATTATGCTTATCTTATGCATATGGAAACACGAACAGAAAGGCTAAGTCATTCGTTGGAGGTCAAGAAAAAAAAAAAATCAGGACTGAGGAATGCCATCTACTGGCATGGCACCCTCATCACTAACAGACATCTCAGACACACGCTAAACCTGTTTCCGCCCTGATCCTCTCGTTTTCACATTTAAACCCACCTTTCCTAGGAAACCTCAGCAAACATGGCTCGCTGCCCCAGCTAACATCTCTCACCTGACACACATATTCTTTTTTTGTTCCTGCTCCTCGCTCAGATTTTTTGGATGATATAGACACTTCAGTCTGAGTTTCATCAGCACTTTCATAGGGAGATTCTGACCGCTCATCTCCTTGGCCATCGGAGATCTGAAGATTAAACATAGGCGTTAGAGAAAGCAGTCATGTGTCATCAACTTTGTACAGAACAGCAACTGAAGGAAGCAAACAGACTGCAATTCAGACTAGCAGAGTTAAGCACCCCCTTATGGTTTTGATTCCCCCACCTTTAAAAAAAAAAAACCCAAACTTGATTAAAACCACAGTATTTGTGGACGTCTCATGCGAAGGACTGCGTAACAACCCTCACCAACTCGAAAGCAGCCAAAACAAAACACCAAACCTTTGTAATACCGCATTTTATTTATACTCAGTTCTGTAATACAGTTAGCCAGAAGTGCCCAGCCACAGGGATTATCTTCAAACCTCTTAAGTCCGAATACGTGTTTTATGAGAGAGTAACTATTAATTAAAGAAAGAAACTTGGTAAACTTTAAGCTGCATATGAAAGTCTCTGACCCAAATATTCTCCAAGAAAGTGGGAACAGCATGTAAAAGAGAGGAAGAAAGAAAAGTGGCTCTCTGAATATGTTTAAGGAATGTTATAGCCAACAGTGAATTCAAAATACTACAAAAGATGGATAGATCTTATATAACAAATCTAGAAGTATTAAGGAGGGAGGATTTTTAAAAATACTCATAATTTACTTTAAAAAAACCCAAGCAAAGTAACATATTTAAAAAAAAATACAGGTCAGTTTTCAGCTCAACAGAATTCAGAGAGGGACTGGACACCCAAGTCATTGGTCCCATCTCACGTGACACCGGAAGATGCTGAAAGTTGTACCGCTGCCCTCAGACGGCACTCCTCGAGTTGTGTTTCACCGCGTACATTCTCCTGGAGAGCATCGCAACTTGGCAACGCAAAAGAAACCCATCACTTCTCTTTGAGCTTGTTCTAACGGTTACTCGCACACACCATCAACAGCACTGCCTCCTGCCCCTTTTGAGCAGTCTCACTGCAAGGCACAGCTGAGGGCACTTTCTCCAGGTATTTCAGCTATATCAGAAGTCCTTTGGAAGCAGACATTTTCCTCCTGTGGAAGCATGCTGCAATTAAGCCCGTTTGGATCATTTCTGGTAAGCCAGAATGCCCTCTGATTTTCTCTTTAGGGAACTTTTTCCAGCATCAAGAGAATTTTGGTGGATTTTCTCTAAACTGATCTGCACTTTAAAAAGGTTGCTGAAAACTCTGGAGTGAGAACTGGAGGCATTAGCCCATTATGAGTCTCTGGAGTACAGTATCCAAAGAAACCAGCACGTTACTCTTCTTCACCGGTTCTGTTCTGCTGCGTAAGGATCACCCTAAGTCACAGAATGGTATGGGCTGGAAGGGACCTTAAAGATCATCAAGTTCTTTTCAAGACAGTCCCTGCATATTGCCAGGGTACTCCGGAGATCATTTTGCCAATGGGATACAGGCACCCCACTTTGTATGACAAATTTGCTTTCTGTTTTCAGACACACAGTCTCCTATTTATCTAGAGTAAACCACATTTTATTAAAAATAGTCCAGCTTACCAAGTAATGGGGACAGCTACGTGCAACCCCCCGTCAGCCAATCTCCATGTAACGTGCAAATTTATTAGAAGCGATTTATTTTGAAACCAGAGAGAAAAACATAAAGCTGACCCAGGCCTAGCATTAGTCTTTACAAAAGCCCTTTAGAAACACTGGGTTTGAGCGATTACTTCTCACCGCTGCTGCCAGCTAACCTGCATTCTTCCGTTTCATATTTGCTTTCCTTGACCATGTCTAAAAATATTTTGCAAATGGGCTCAGATTGACAGTTGTTGGTTTTTTTTTTTTTCCCCCCAGATTACTTGCAAGGGTATAAATGCACTTCCTCTGTGCAAACACAAACTATCCGAGTGATTGACGCCTTCGCTTCACCTGGGACTATTTCTACAAGTGGAGTGATTTGGAGATTCTGCCTGACCGTTTTAGAAGTGGTTAGAAGAAGCTGCGTGCAAAATCATTGTTCGGGCACCAGGAAATCTCTGTCCCTGGAAGGAGCTGTGAAACAGAGAACTGCAAATGTGCCCTAAGTGCATGGCCAGGAGCAGCCAGTTCTTGCTGGGAAGCAGCAGATGGAACGGTAATGCGGGAGTCCAGCAAAAAACCCACAAAATCCATTTTCCCTTATGGTTTAAGTAAACTTATACACGCGCTCATTTCTGTTTAAACTATTCCCACAGAAACATTAATTAGTATAAGCAGTGCACTGCTCCAACAATTTTGGTACCTCATTATGTTCATGTTTTAACTAGCCAAAATTAGTCATGTTTATAAAAGAAAAAAAAAAAAAAGAAAGAAAGAAATCAGCTGGACTTAGATCTGTATTTCTTTAAAAAAAAAAAAAAAGGTAGTATGCTTTGTCCTCTACTCCAAACAAGCAGTCTTACACTAACTTGACATTACAGTTGTTCCCCACACCACAGAGCGCTCCTAAACCCCTGAGAAAACCCATCTGTGCTGCACACCGCATGAGTTAAGACAGTCTTGCCAGCAGCAGAAGCTTGAGGAAAGCACTCCCCTTCCCCAACTCACTACTTTTGAAGGCAGAGCAGGGGAACACAACATATCCTGTGACAAAGGCGTTCAGTCGCAAGAGAACAAGGTTTGTTTCAAAGCAATGGCTTCCTAGCTTTTCTGTGGTTCCTATGCTTGTAACATGTTCAAATGAAGGATGCAGACCTCCTCCTCAGAGAGGACTCGCAACCTAGAGACAGAGAGTGCATGAGATGGTTGGGAAAACTGGACCCGGAGCAAGCTGCAGCAGCACTGGCAGGCTGTGCCACCACTAAGGGGGCAGCTGAGTTTCACAATAAACATACCTTTAGATTGAAACAGGGAAAGGTGACCCTGTTGGCAGATGACAAATCTTCCAGTGCCCCCCTAGATATAGGTCACAAAGTCCCAGCCATATGTGAACCATGGGTTGACAGCCACTTTCTTACAGATCTGAGATTGTACTGCCTCAGAATTAAGGCACCAGCCCTTCATGTAAATTCAACGGTCACCGAGCCAAAAAGGAGCAGCGCTGGCAAGAATCAAACCCTACATCAGAAATGCAACCAAAAACTTGAATTCTATTGGCCCTTTCAACGCAAAACTTGGCAATTTACACCCGCCTATGATTAATGCCGCACCCCAAGCACCAA